AAATTCTAGTTTATGTATGGTTAAATTTTTCTGGTTTGAGAATAGTACATTAAAATACAAGTTTCATAAGACGTCATTTTATCGCACGAGCCCTATATAGGGCGAGTGCGATAAAATGTCTTATGAAAGAATATTTTATACTATTTTTTCTATTTTGGTATTGTTCAATTGACTTTTTGTTTAGACGCCATATTGCGGTGCGCGAACATAGTTGCCAAAAGTAGGAAAAAAATCACTAGCGTACTGTCAACATTAAAAGCAAAAGTTACTGAATAAATTACATTTAAAATTCAAATTTACCGCCTATTACCAATGTTTTTGAAAAGAAAAGCCATGAATTTTAACTTGTTATTGGGCAGAATAGAAATAATAAAATATCTACCTATTCACTTTACCAAACTTCGGTTTCGTTTCTCAAGCCTAGTACTCATAACCGCGAAATTCGCTGTTTTTTGACATTGCTTCGACAATTTGACGTTTAATTCATTCCGCAGATTCATGCATAAAACGTCAAATTGTCGAAGCAATGTCAAAAAAGAGCGAATTTCGCGGTTATGAGTCCTAGACTTTATTGTTTATAGAATCAGAGAGAGAAAGTAAACAAACAAAAAGGATAGTGAGGATCAATCATTTAGTTACTTTTGTTTTTAATGTTGACAGCTCGCTAGTAATTTTTGTTTTCTTCTTTTGGCAACTATGTTCGCGCACCGCAATATGGCGTCCAAACAAAAGGTCAATTGAAAAAAAAACAAACTTTTCTTGGAAATTTTATTCTCATATTTCCTGATTTCATAAGTTTAGGTTGGCAACACTACATGCCAAATATAGAAATCTTCTATTATTTTTTTATCGCGAATGACAGTTCAATGGCCATCAATCAGCTAGTGTTACCAACTTCCGATAAGTAAAAAAGGAGTGTCACAAAGAGCTTCTTTTCGAAACTACTTTTAGTGTCGAAAAGACTTCGATATGACACCAAAATAGAAAACATCATTTTTTCTCGAATGAAAGTAATAACGTTATTTTTAAACGGGTTCAAAACAGATTTCAAAATTATTTCGAGCTGCTGGGCTCGAGAAAAAACACTTCAAGTGTCGAAAAGACTTCGATATGACACCAAAATAGAAAATAGCTATTTATACAATAAGTTACGAAATGAGCGTCTTTTAGGCACGCGACGTGAAAATTGTCCAACGAGGCAAAGCCGAGTTGGACAACACGTCGAGTGACTAAAAGACATCGTTTCGTAACGTATTGTATACAAGATTTTTTCTACTGGCATTTTATAATAAAAAAATACAATTTTATTTCATGTGAATAAGTCGATTACACCCAAAATCTTTGTTACCTGCTTGCCACCTGACACTTTTCATGCGATTTTCTTTTGAAAATTCGACATCAATAATTAAAATCCTAGAAAGTAGGTAATAACACAAAGTTCTGTTTTGAGTAACCCAAACGTTCAATTCAGTAATTCCATTTTCAATATTCATAATAAATAATAAACAAAATTCAAATATGTGTTTAGTGTGTTTTTTATTTCTGAATAATGAATGACACTTTTAGGCACTAGTGCTTAAAAATTACTTTTACGCACTCATAAGTCACTTTTACGCATTCAAAAGTCACTTTTACGCACTGAGTGCCTAAAAGTAACTTTCACGCACTCAGTGCGTAAAAGAATGTCGTTTCAAAACTGAAATGACAATCGAAAAGTTGCTATTATGAAACGTCACTAGAAAAAGGTTATTTACAACTTGGGCCTTATAGTAGACCCCCTGGAAAGATCATAGGCAATACCAGTGATTCCTCTACAATAATAATGTTATCTTTAAAAAAGGTCATGTTCATTCAAAGACGTAACAAAATTTTTATATGCAGATATACTTGACCAGCATTGAATACACACAATAGATTAACATTTTAGTACTATGAGGCAAGACTAAACTGATACACAACCATTGAAAATTGACACATGAACTTTTACATAGAAAGTGTGTAGGAGTGCCCTAAGCGACTAAGTTCCAGTTATGCGCCTTTTGATCAGGTAGATTCACCCAAAAGAAAAGGCAAAACGCCAGGTACTAAAGAGGATGACATGTATTATAAAAAATTGGTGAAAGGAAAATCTGCAACTATAAGCGATTCTCAGTCGGTTTTGTCTAGAGTCAGTTACCTCTCTTACCATCTCCAGTTTACAGTAACGCTTACGATAGTAAAAACGAGAAAATCAACAAAACCATTAATGAACCTGATATTACATTCAATGATCTTCTATTCGGCAACGTTAAATGTGCCATCGCTAGTCCAAAAACCGTGGATCCTCAATCTCTATCTCCAAACAGTGATTATCCTGAGGAGTTATTTACACACTCCCGTTTTCATACCAAAAAAAAATTCCTGATATCGTCAAAGACGATTTGGCTTTTAGGAATTTGAGGAGGAATGAAAGTTGTGTATTTTCGTGCAAAATATTTAATTTTTCAAAATCAGTGCAGAGCGCTTTCGGCCTTAGGCCATCATCAGTGCTACCTGGAAGTAAAAGGGAGACCTTAACTTTATAAAATAATGCTAAAAAAGGAAAGATTGAGAATGGGGTCTAGCCTACTTACTTCGTCAGGTAATCAGTGCAGAAAATTCAATAAAATCGGGACGACACATTGGACAAGTACGTACGTAACAACAACACTTTAAAATTAGAATCTTATATCACATTTTTTATATAAAGGAACTGAGCTGTAAAAATTCTCTCACAATACTGGCTTTAGGGTCCAATCTGCTGAACTTTAAAAATTTGGTCAGTTGTGCCTTACTTCATCGTAGTCTCTGAAAGTATAATCTTGTGTTAAATCCCAAATTTAGGATTTTTAGAATTTTAATTTAAAACGTGTCGTTCGGAAACCAGAACCCATCGAATGAAGATGACTTTCAAATTTTTAAAATGACATGAAGAATATCAAAGACAGCTGACACCTCGAGACAGACAAACGTCCAAAGCGAACCCAGGTTAGGTTGTAAATCAAATGGAATAAGACGGAAGAAAAGAAGAGACATTGAGGGAAAACAACATGGCCGTCGAGTCCACACAACGATGGTCAGGAGGAACAATTTAGAGGCGTCTATGCAAGGGGATGTATGATCTATTCAGATTTACCTGAGTGTTAAGACATAGTTCATTGTTGCGCAACTCTTTACTGATCTCAATATCTTCCATGAAATCTAAACGATTGAAATTTTTAGAAGAAATGTTGTGTAGTATTTTTGAATTAGAATGGGGGCTGAAGTTATGTTTAGTAGTTCTCAGGTGTTCGCCAAATGCTGAAGATTGCTACAACACCTGAGAACTACTAAACATAACTTCAGCCCCCATTCTAATTCAAAAATACTACACAACATTTCTTCTAAAAATTTCAATCGTTTAGATTTCATGGAAGATATTGAGATCAGTAAAGAGTTGCGCAACAATGAACTATGTCTTAACACTCAGGTAAATCTGAATAGATCATACATCCCCTTGCATAGACGCCTCTAAATTGTTCCTCCTGACCATCGTTGTGTGGACTCGACGGCCATGTTGTTTTCCCTCAATGTCTCTTCTTTTCTTCCGTCTTATTCCATTTGATTTACAACCTAACCTGGGTTCGCTTTGGACGTTTGTCTGTCTCGAGGTGTCAGCTGTCTTTGATATTCTTCATGTCATTTTAAAAATTTGAAAGTCATCTTCATTCGATGGGTTCTGGTTTCCGAACGACACGTTTTAAATTAAAATTCTAAAAATCCTAAATTTGGGATTTAACACAAGATTATACTTTCAGAGACTACGATGAAGTAAGGCACAACTGACCAAATTTTTAAAGTTCAGCAGATTGGACCCTAAAGCCAGTATTGTGAGAGAATTTTTACAGCTCAGTTCCTTTATATAAAAAATGTGATATAAGATTCTAATTTTAAAGTGTTGTTGTTACGTACGTACTTGTCCAATGTGTCGTCCCGATTTTATTGAATTTTCTGCACTGATTACCTGACGAAGTAAGTAGGCTAGACCCCATTCTCAATCTTTCCTTTTTTAGCATTATTTTATAAAGTTAAGGTCTCCCTTTTACTTCCAGGTAGCACTGATGATGGCCTAAGGCCGAAAGCGCTCTGCACTGATTTTGAAAAATTAAATATTTTGCACGAAAATACACAACTTTCATTCCTCCTCATTTCCAAGCGTGCACACAGCCTTCAACCTTTGATTTTAGGAATTTGTCTAAAGACGCTAATAAAGAACCAGTTTTGCCTTTAGCTTCAGGGGATGAAGTTGAAAATAATATTTATCCCAAAGATAAATTGGATTTGAGTTTTATTAAGAAACGCAGAGCTACTGTACGTTCACTTTCAGCTAACATTGGCAACGCCTAGGGCAGGGATGTTAAGGAAAGCGATGATGATGTGGAAAATAAATTTAGAAATAAGATGTTGGCTGATACTGATATTGCCGATGCTATGGGAGAATGCTATATAGGAGAGTGCTTCAAGACAGACACTCGGAAATCTTCTATGAGTGATACCAAAGAAGGGGATTCTTTTAAAAATACTCATCAGAAATTTCTCAATGGTTTGAAAAGTACAGAAAAAAGTCAAGACAAGAATGTGGTAGCTGATATGCCACCTAAGGGGTTGACACTTGAAAGAAAAATAGCTCTAACTTTCAGTCACGTGTTAGCTCAGGGTGAGCATACGTTTGACGCTTGCCGAACTGTATTAACACTCATTAAAATGCATTGCACTAAACCGTTCCGAGAGATTTGAAATTAAAAACAGCATTTACACTCACCAGCGACTAGTTATTTTTTACTCTTGCGCAATTTCTATTTTTATCTAAAGGTTCAACTCTTTGCTCTTAGAGCATTCATGTTAAAAATCTCTCTATTTTGTAGGGGAGATTGTGCAGAATCTTACAACACTGCCTGATGACTTTTCCATTGCAGCGAATTCGAAACGAATCATGACTTCGGTTGTATTGTATACATAAATAATAATTTAATTTATATAAAACAAAATTGCTAGCCAACTAAAATAAAATTTATTTTTCATTATCATCTTCTTCCGAAAACCGAACACTACGATTACTACGAAAAATTCTTTTGAATTTCGACGACTCCGAGCGCAATTTTTTCGTCTCCTTTATCTTACTATTTTTCTTAAATATAATTTCCTTAAAGGCATTCGCTACGTCCTTATTTCGGTGCTCAACTGCCACATCATAAGCTGTCCGTCCGGAGGTATCCTTTAAATTATAATCAATCTTTTCCAGCTCGAGCAGAAACTTAGCCAACGGCAAGTATCCAGTTATGGCAACCATATGAAGCATCGAATGATGTGAAATAGAATCGACTACGTTTAGTTGAGCTCCGTGATTCAAGAGTAGTTTAACGAGTTCGATTTGGTTTAAGGATTTACAGTTTAGAGCCAATTCTAAAATAATTTAAGGTTGTTATTTACTTAATATTTGCAGTAGGAGTAGAAGTTTTTATGCAAGGAATTGTGCATCGAATCAAGACAAATCCACAAAAGACTCTACCTAACATTAATGAGTCCGTCTTTACATGCCGCAAATTCGGATCTGCGTTCCATCTGAGTAACAGTTCGCAAACTTTCTTCGAAGGATACTCGATAACGCTCAAGCTTAAGGGAGTATTATCGAAGGCGTCGCATACGTTAGGTTGGGCATGGCAAAATAGCAGCTTTTTTACCATTACCAGGTTTTTTTTTATTACTGCTACATGCAAAGCTGTTCTACCTAAAAAATTGAAACAATACTCAAATTCTATCAGATCAAAAAAGACCTTGCAGAAAAACCTATTCATTTGATAATTTTGTTACTGTGGCACTTACCAAATCGATTCTGTATATTAGGATTGGCTCCATATTTCAATAGCAAAGCAGCAAAGCCCATTCGATTGAATATTGTCGCTGTTATCAGAGGGCTTTCGCCATTTCTCGCGTGCTTGTGACTATTAATATCTATATCTTTCAATTGTAAAAAGTAATTGCCTTTAAAAAGAATGTTTAAGTATTCTTTTACTCAAATGAAATTATTCTTACCCACTGCAATGTCGCCTTTTTCGGCGGCAATATGCAAAGCGGTCAACGCATCAACACCCAGAGTGTTAGGATCGATGTCATCAAACTTAATAAGTTCATCGATTATGCTTATTTCTCCAATTACAACTGCTGCGAAAAACTCTTTTTCCTTTCTTTTTTTATCTAAAAAATACATGATATTATCAAAGCTTAGATATTTATCTTTGTGGGACGGAAGAACAGATGAGGAGTTGGTAATTGAACGATTCACAAAAGGCAACATCGGCGTGTAGTTTCGAAATTAGACTAAGATGTAGTTTGATAATCAACAAACCTAGAATCCAGGACATATGAAAAATAGGTACAAGGGCCAAGATGAGAGATAAAGAAGACCGAATTGAGGAAAAAGGTTCAAAGTAGTTCTGCGTATGGTCCAAATTTTCACGGATTCCGGGTTCACTTAAAGTCACTTCACAAACAGTAACAACTTTTATTAAACTAATTCACTTACGACAAATATCGACTTGAAACTGACCTCCTTAATCTACTATAACTTTGGGTTATTTATAGCAGACAGTGTACTCGGTACTTTTTCTAGAAAAACCTTAAGAGAATTCTTCGAATTATTTACGCGACACGCATACAATTGCATTCTGAGAATTCAGAAACTTCGTAACAATACAAAACATTCAAAACTTAGAAATGTACGATTGAGAATTATTGGAAAATTGCCCTTAATTAACTGAAAATGAATAATAAGGGTGCGATTAACATCAAAAAACTCTCACTAATCTGAATTTAAGGAAGGTGGAACGTTTTCCAAGCTTTATAAAAGGTTTCTCAATTAATTTATAATTATTTCGACTTTTGATTTTCATCTTCTTGAGATTCTCGCTCTTCTATATGTAATCTTTGATTCTTCAATTTTTCGTCTGTCGCTCATATAGATATTTTGAAGAAATATGATAAATATGTAGTTATAGGTACCTCTAGCTGAAGTTCCAATTAGTCTACCAACATGCTTAAACATTTTTACACTGACAACTAAAATTAACCAAAAAGTCAACTACAGACATTGTCATATGCATTAAGTGATAAATGAAATAACGAAATACGGTACGGTACAGTGAGTGAACAAACAGAAAATATCACCGCGGACATTAATTTATTCATCTTTTTTGTTTTCTATTTTTGTCCTTTTTGTAGCCAAAAAAAAAATCCATTTTCCCATTTGCTGATGCGGGACGCGCAAAAAAACCTTTTCTGATTAGCGAAATTGGGTTACTGGAGTAACGAATTTTTTTTTGTCCAAAACGGATTCGTTATTTCATAATAATTTAAAATATATAATTATGTATTTATACATAATATATTTTCAGCCAGACAAACAACAAAAGTTGAATTTATAAGTTTCACATAATGGACAGAAGAGAATTTACCAAAAAAAGTTAACAATTTGCAGCGAAAAAATATCGAGAGACGATTTGTATTGGATGTCTTCACCTGTAACTGACTCCTTACAATACCTAGCTTTCAGGGGCTATTTTGTTACCCACTCTGGAACGTACATACAAACATGGAAAAAATTTACCTATCTATGCTTTTATAGGTACGAGGTTATTGGCGTTTGACTGAGAAAAAAAAGTTATTGAACTTTATCTTGATTTTTCTTAACTTCTTTAGATTGATAGATAGTCCATAATGTTTTAAATGTTTCAATTAGTAGATACTTGATAGTTTTATGTCTTATGATACATAGAGCCTAAAATTATGCACATCAAATATCATAATATTCGCATATATGCAAGCATAATTTGTAATAATAAAACTAATTAGAACAATGCTTGATGCATATTTAGATTTTTATATACCTATCCCCACATTTTGTCATTTTTCAGCGTTCATTTCATCACTATATGTCTGCGAACCCTCAACAGATTGCTGAACTATTTGCCACACACTTCAAGAATTGTTACTCTGACCACAAGGATGTTGAGATCAAAGAAGACTACTCAGCCCTTTTTGGAGCATACCTATCCTCCAATCATTTCTTCACGGTCTAGGTAATACAGAAAAAAATTCTATTCTGCATCTCGATGCCTCAAAGAGGATGGTCTCTGCCCAGTGTTTCTTGAAGACTGTTGCACATCTCTGAAGCATATTTTTCAACTTTCTTTCGATACTGGCATTATTCCCAGAAGTTGCAAAGTCTCAACACTTTTTCTTATCCGCACAAATCAAGAGATAGCACTGATGTAAATAATTATAGAGACATATCTCTACTATTGCACATTCCTAAAATTATGCAATCCATTCTAACAGACGACGTGTATTCATGCTTTAGAAACTACATTGCTAACGAACAGCACGGCATTTGGAATCAGGAAAACAGACGAAGGTGATCTTGTGATAGTGTGTGCCATGAGTTGTTCCTCTCAGTATCCTCTCAGATACCTACGTTTCTGAAAATTTATAAAATCGTACCTAACGGAAAGATGTCAAACAGTCAGTGTGTGCGGTGCAGTATACCGCGAGTTCATAGTTCCATCCGGTCTTTTTCAGGGATCGCACATCAAATCGTTTCTGTTTGGTCTTTTCATAAATGACGTCATCCAGTACTTCCAATCATTCCTCTGCTTACTATACACTGACGAACTGAAGTTTTTCGCAGTTGTAGTGACTACAAAAATTTTAATCAAGAATAACAAGGACTTACCAAACAACCATCCCAGGAGAGATCATCACTTAGACAGGACAACCAGAAACTTCAATTAAAATTTATCTGAACATCGATATCCAGAAATTATTGAAAGCCGATACCCTATATTGACTAATACATTGGAATGTGAATAAAGTAAAGGATCAATAAATCATGCTCGAGCCTATATGATGATACCCACTTAACAAACCACTTAGCGACGCCCTTGATAATTAATTAAAAGGGGACCAAATACAATACACTAATTGATCGGATGATTCAACCACAAAAAATCGAGGTCAGAAAAAAATTAAGAAATTCAAGACAATGGAGGGACCAATGATATAAAAAGACAACTTTGTCAGGAGAAAATCAGTGTTCGAGAAAAGAGTGTTCGAGAAAGAGCGAGTAAACCGGCAGAACTACGGCGTGAAGGACCAGTGTCGGTTGAGTAATCAAGAAATAAGTACCTAGTAATCGAGAATCGAGAGACCTGTGTCCAGAAAGTCAGAACTACGGCGTGAAAGAGTTGTCGGATGAACCGAGAGAAGAAGCACGACGTGAAATAACAGCACGAAAATATTCGAGTTTTTTATTAAGTGTTCATAATTAAAGTAAATTCCTTCGACCAATAAGATTTCCATGTAATTAGGTGTGGCCAGCAATAAATATATTATTGTTAAATGTAAGTAGAGTTTTTTTATGTTCAGCAAGATATTGTGAAGGCAAAGGATATAGGTATCTAAAAATCTAAATATGCAAAAAAACGAAACACCATCACAGACATAATATATGTATGATACGAAGTCCATTTTCTCTCTATTTGATCCACACTTGAATACTGCAGCCCAATTTGGACTCAAGTTGTATGCTACATCAGAAGGAAAAAGGATTGCGAAATACCAGCTCTACAAATTGATATTTCCTTACCATAACCTTGGGTATAAAACTCTAATTTTTATCTACAAAATTTTGCAGAACATTATCAACTCGTCCGAACTTCTATGACAGAAATTGGATTTCTGGGCTCCTGGAACAAGAACTGGTCTGAATTCCATCATGATGTATCTATAGTCACTAATTACAATGAGGACTTTTCCCATATAAGTAAATGTCTGTTAATATTGAAAAATGCGTAGTATGTGTAGTATCGTTTTCTAGAAAGGTAAATGTAGTTATCGAGGACTGCTACATTGAAAATTGTGTACTGAAGAGGTGTCATGAAGTCAAAGACTTGGGAGTGATGTTCCAGCAAAACTTCAAATTCAAAAGTCATTACAGTTATATTATGAATAAGGCTTATAGAATTCTTGGCAATGTTATGCGAAATAGCAAAGATCTCAATATCCAAACAGCGACAAGACTTTATACTTCCTTAGTGAGGCTACACTTGGAATATGCTTCTAATATCTGGTCTCCAAGTACTCATGTTAACAGTAATGAAATTCAAAAGGTCCAAAAACGATTCCTACGATATTTATATGTTAAAAAGAACGGCATATATCCATTTATGGTTTCATACACATCGATGCTGGAAAGCTTCCATCTGTGTATGTTGTGTGACAGGAGGAAGACTCATGCAGTAATATTTATTTATAATATCATCAATAATTTAAGGTACTCAGATTGTGATCTCATAAATTATATTAAGTTCAAAGTGCCAAAGATAAATTTAAGACTATTGTCCACTGATCTCTTTTATGTCAATAATATGAGCCTATCGCCCCTTGTAAATATGGTTGGCATGTGTAATGAGATGCTATCAAATAATGTGTTGACTGATATTTATTTATTTATTTATTTATTTATTTAGTCTGTTTAAAGTGCACAGTACAGAAAAATACTAAATGGAATGAAAATGTAACAAATTGAACAAATACAATAGTTACAATAGTAATAGAATACAAAATAAAACACAAAATATAAACACAAATACAAAATATAAAAAGAGAAAAGAAAAAAAAATGGTATATACATAACAAACTCACGAAACAAAGGTAAAAAGTAAGGTAGAAAGAAACACTAAATTAAATTAGCAAATTTGGCTTTTTAATTTGGGTAGAGTAATCTTGAAAATGTCTATATCACTAAAGTATATGTTGTAGTTTGTGACTAGTCTAGTAACAATTGCACTTTGCCCATAATTTGTTCTGTGCCTTGGTTGATAAAATAGTAGCCTCTGTCTAGTTCTTAGAGATGGGACTAGAAATCCTACTTGTTCTAGTAGTGCCGGGCAGTCTATCAAATTGTTGAGGAGTTTATAGAGAAACACTATCAAGGAGTTTCTCCTGCGAGTTTCTAAACTTTTCATTCCACAAAGTGCAAATCTAGTGTAATAGTCCAATTGTCTATATGGAAAGTTTAATTTGAAGAGTAAATATTTTGCAAATTTACTTTGGACCCTTTCAATGCAGTTGACATGGATATTGTAGCTTGGGCTCCAAACAATGCTGCAATATTCTAGCAAGGATTTGACCAGGCAGTTGTACAGGCATTTTATTGCTTTCACGTCATCAATGTCTTTGGTGTTCCGCTTTATGAAACCTACATATTATGTTTACACTTCCCAGCATTAAGATGAAGGTGGTTTATTCCACACCATCCTATAAATTGAGTTCAGTTTGGAGTGTCTGTGTTGTTTCATTGATGGTACAGAAGATTTTCAAGTCGTCAACGTACAGAAGACAATGAGCATGTTTAAATTGACTCACTGCATCATTGATGGATAGTAAAAATAGGACCGGACCAATGTGTGAGCCCTGGACGACCCCTGATGTGACTTCGTTGCTATCAGAGTATGCTCCACAGACTCTGACCTTTTGTCGCCTAACCTGTAAGTAGGAAGCAGTCCATTGGAGAAATCGATTACTGAAATCAATATGTTGCAGTTTCTTCAGTAGGATGAAGTGGGACACACTGTCAAAAGCTTTGGCTAAGTCTGTGTTAGATGACGTCCACTTGTTTTCCAGCTTCCGTTGCAGAGATTAGGAATTGTTGGAAGCAAGCTAAATTTGTAGCTGTAGAACGGTTCTCGCAAAATCCATGTTGATGGATTGATATGTAATTTTTGTAGTTTTGGCTGATGTCGTCTGTCAGGATGGATTCCATTAAGTATTTTAGGTAGGAGTGATAGAATAGAGATCCCTCGGTAGTTCCTAACATCCTTTTTGTCTCCCGATTTGTGAATTGGGGTTAGAGTAGACATTTTCCATCGGTCCGGCACAAGGCCTAAGTTGAATGATATTTGAAATATCTTTCAGAGAGGACCGACCAGAGAATCACCGCAGTTTTTGAAGAAATTTAGAGGAAGGCCGTCAGAGTCCTGTTTGCTTATT